TTTAATTTCATAAAAAAACAAAGTGCTCATTAAAGAAAACGTGATTCCTTTTTCGATACTAATGACTTTCTAGCTCAGCATCATGGTACTGGTTCTTTTACTTCCTGTCTTTATTTGGCAAATTGTATTTGGGTAAACATTGCATTATTCAATCTCAAATTGATTTTTTTCCAACTTTTAGAGTGTGAGAAACAGTAAATGTATATAAACAAATAAAATCGCGATCCACAACTTACAAATATTTGTACTCGATTATTCATTTCTATTTGTGATTATCCGCATACTCGGATACTCTCCCCAGCCCTTAGAATTAAAAGGCAGACATATGTCACATATCCTATTTATAAAGTCCTTACATTATTAAACAGTGTATAATTATGTTATACATGTATATACAGTTGACTCTGGGTAACTCAAAATCAAAGGGACTGGGCAATTTACTTCAAGAGAAACGGAATTCGAGTAACGTGGATCTGCCACCATTACGTTGACATTCGAACATGTATATACATGTGCCTGATTGAATGTGCAAAGAAGTACTGGTTATGCCCCCACAGAGTGGGAGCATATAGCGTTGCACTTGTCCGTCCGAGTGTCCGTACGTCTGTCCGTCCGTCCGTCCGTCCGTCTGTCCGTACGTCCCGAAATCTTGTGAACGCAACTCCTCTTAAACCAGATGGCAGATTTTGCTTAAACTTCCAGGGATGAACAACCTTAATGTGTAGATGGTAGTAAAGGAAGGAATTTTCGCTGCGACCAAATTTAACAGAATTATGGCCCTTTGTTGATTTTTTCACTATATACTATGTAGAAATTTTGTGAACGCAACTCCTCTTAAACCGGATGGCAGATTTTGCTTAAACTTTCAGGGATGAACAACCTTATTGTGTAGATGGTAGTAAGGGAAGGAATTTTTGCTGCGACCAAATTTAACAGAATTATGGCCCTTTGTTGATTTTTCACTATATACTATGTAGAAATTTTGTGAATGCAACTCCTCTTAAACCAGATGGCAGATTTTGCTTAAACTTCCAGGGATGAACAACCTTAATGTGTAGGTGGGAGTAAAGGAAAGAATTTTTGCTGCGACCAAATTTAACAGAATTATGGCCCTTTGTTGATTTTTTCACTATATACTATGTTGAAATTTTGTGAACGCAACTCCTCTTAAACCGGATGGCAGATTTAGCTTAAACTTCCTGGGATTAACAACCTTAAAGTGCAGATGGTAGTAAAGGAAGGAATTTTTGCTGCGACCAAATTTAACAGAAATATGGCCCTTTGTTGATTTTTAGTTTTCAACTTGTGGCACATGTAGTCCAAAAAATATTTGACCTAGAGTCATAAGATTGACAGAACAGTGGCGTGTGGGGGCATCAGTGTCCTATGGACACATTTCTAGTTTGTTATTGTTGTTAGCGGCAATGCTGCAATATTTAACCGTTGAAATGATAGTAAATCACTTACAACGAACAAAAATATATTATGTAATTTTTTGTAAACAGAAGAATTATTGGTAAGAAGTATTTTTATGCTCCCCGAAAAATTTCGGGAGAGCATTTAGTCGTCAGGTTGTCCGTCTGTACGTACGTAAGTCCCGAATTCGTGTCCGGCCCATAACTTTGTTATTTGAAGTCGGATTTTAAAACTATATCACAGAAATGATCACAATATTGAGACGATGTGTCGCGCGCAACATTTGGGTCGCTACCTTGAAGGTCAAGGTCAAAGCATGACCTTGCAGCAAAATTGTGTCCGGTCCATAAGGCCTAAAAAAAAAATTGATGTGTTTCTGGTGGCAAGGCGAAAAAAAGTAGGGTCAGTGGGTCGGACTTTTTTTTTTAGTCAATCAACGATTGTAGATATGTCAGATACGGATTATATGTACTTTAAATTATATTCTATAGCATATAAAAGTACTTAAAATGTTAGACTACCAAACCTAGTCTTCAATATTTTATTTTGAAATAAATTTTACCAATGGCATGACTCGACTTTCGTTTTCATTTTTTTTTATTCTTACCGAACAACTGGCTTCAATTTTAATATTATCACTCTTAACATGACCATGCACGTCCGAAAAATGTTTTGAGCTGTTTTGCTGTGGTCTATTAATTTGATTTCCTGTTTTGCCAAACTATGATCGTATTTTTAAAGAAAATCGCCAGCAGTGACACTTCGGCTGCTTGTTGTGCCGCCATATTAGCTGGTGCGCGTTAATACGTAATTCGAACCCGAATCGTCTGTGCCTCACATCGTTGTCGACTCGCAATACTAAAACCCGTCTTCGGTACGGTCGGTACGGGCGCCATTTTTATGCCCCCGCCATGTAATGGCCGGGGCATATAGTGTTACCCTGTTCCGTCCTTCCGTCCTTCCGTCATTCCGTCCTTCCGTCATTCCGTCATTCCGTCCTTCCGTCATTCTGTCATTCCGTCATCATCAGTTTCCGTTCATTATCTTAGTAAGGGTTGCACACATTCAACTCAAATTTGACATATGGATATGTCGTGAGAAAATACAGGTCAAGTTCGAATTTGGTCATGGTTCGATGATTTTTGGCAGAGTTATGCCCCTTTTACTTTAAAATAATATGAAATTTTCAGTTTCCGTTCATTATCTCCCCAATGGTACAACACATTCAACTCAAACTTGACATATGGATATATCATGAGAAAATACAGGTCAAGTTCGAATTTGGTCATGGTTCGATGATTTTTGGCAGAGTTACGCCCCTTTTACTTTGAAAATAATATGAAATTTTCAGTTTCCGTTCATTATCTCCCCAACAGTACAACACATTCAACTCAAATTTGACATATGGATATGTCGTGAGAAAATACAGGTCAAGTTCAAATTTGGTCATGGTTCAATGATTTTTGGCAGAGTTATGCCCCTTTCACTTTGGAAATAATATGAAATTTTCAGTTTCCAGTCATTATCTCCCCAATGGTACAACACTTTTAACTCAAACTTGACATATGGATACGTCACAGGAATGCGCAGGTCAAGTTCAAAGTTGGTTATGGTTCAATGATTTTAGGCAGAGTTATGCCCCTTTCACTTTGAAAATAATATGAAATTTTCAGTTTCTGTTTATTATCTCCCCAATGGTACAACACATTCAACTCAAATTTGACATATGGATATATTTTTGGAATGCCCAGGCCAAGTTGGAATTTGGTCATGGTTCAATGATTTTTGGCAGAGTAATGCCCCTTTCACTTTGAAAATAATATGAAATTTACAGTTTCTGTTCATTATCTACCCAACTACTCAAATTTGACATATGGATATGTCAAAGGAATGGGCAGGTCAAGTTTGAATTTGGTCATGGTTGGATGACTTTTTGGCAGAGTTATGTCCCTTTCACTTTGAAAATAATATAGATACATCTTAGGAATAAGCAGTTTAAGTTTGAATTTGGTCGTGGTTCAATGATTTTGGACAAACTTATCTTTCTTGAATGTTGTAAAAATTTTGAACTTTCAGTTTCAGCACTGAAATGTATGTAGCCATTATTTTGGCTACAAATATGAAATATGCTATTTTCAAAAGGTTTAGACTGAATAATTTCAGTGCCTTGAACATTGTATGAAAATGGTTTGTGTTAACATTGAAAAGTTTTAAGGGCTTTGAACTTAAAATGAAAAAAATTATTTGTGCAAACAAATTTGGAACTAAATATTATAACATCTGATATTTTGGCTGCATGCGGGGGCATCCGTGGCATGATGACACATTTCTAGTTTTTTTGTACATCAATAAAAAACTTTGGGTCGGCGCTAAAAAATAGGGTCGGTCGGGCCACCTGAACCACAACATTCTTTTTTTTAGGCCTCACTTCATTATTTGAAGTTGGATTTTAAAAATATTTCACAGAAATGATCACCATATTGAGACGATGTGTCGCGCGCAACATTTAGGTCGCTACCTTGAAGATCAAGGTCACAGCATGACCTTGCAGCAAAATCGTGTCCGGCCCATTACTTTGTTATTTGAAGTCAGATTTTAAAACTTTTTCACAGAAATGATCACCATATTGAGACGACGTGTTGCGAGCAACATTTGGCTCGCTACCATGAAGGTCAAGGTCACAGCATGACCTTGCAGCAAAATCGTGTCCGGTCCATAACTTTGTTATTTGAAGTTGGATTTTAAAAATATTTCACAGAAATGATCACCATATTGAGACGATGTGTCGCGCGCAACATCTGGGTCGCTTCCTTGAAGGTCAAGGTCACAGCATGACCTTGCAGCAAAATCGTGTCCGGCCCATTACTTTGTTATTTGAAGTTGGATTCAAAAAGTATTTGATAGAAATGATCATCATATTAAGATGACCTGTCACGCACAACATTTGGGTCGCTGCCTTGAAGGTCACAGCATGACCTTGCAGCAAAATTGTGTACGGCCCATAACTTCCTTATTTGAAGTCAGATTTTTCAACTATTTCACAGAAATGATCACCATATTAAAATGGCGTGTCGCGCGCAACATTTGGGTCGCTACCTTGAAGGTCAAGGTCACGGCATGACCTTGCAGCAAAATCGTGTCCGGCCCATAACTTTGTTACTGGAAGTCGGATTTTACAACTATTTCACAGAGATGATCACCATATTGAATAGACGTGCCGCATGCAACATTTGGGTCCCTACCTGGAAGGTCAAGGTCACAGCATGACCTTGCAGCAAAATCATGTCCGGCGCATTACTTCGTTATTTGAAGTCGGATTTTACAACTATTTCACAAAAATGATCACCATATTGAGACAATGTGTTGTGCACAATATTTGGGTTGTTTTTACACTTTGAACTTTGTCTGTGGCATAACTCTGACACAACAAGAGGTATACCTTCCGGTGTCCAAAACCTATTCGGGGAGCATCACCCGGTTCAACCGGCTCTTGTTTCAGATTGACGATATAAAAATGTAAAACTTGTTGTTTTATAGTCACATGAAATAAACTTAGAAAACTGTTGTTTTTGTCATAATTTTAGAATGAAGTGGAGAATGAGCATACCCCACAAAAGCAACAAAAGTTGGATGGTGTTGATTTTTCCACTGTGCCTGGTGATGTTTCTGTCTCGGTAAGTTCAGCTGTCATTTAATTTAAATCATTGGGTTATGAGTCATTTTGTAATTCAGTATTTTAATCATCTATGGTATTATTAGACATTTGCTGAACTACTGTTTCTGCACCAGTTAAATTAAAACTGCAGTTAACAGAATAAAAATCCTAAAAAGTTAGGGAAGAACCTTAAAGTACTATCTGGCAAAACTGACAACTTCCAAAAAAACTATATAAATGATGACAATGGAAATCAAGTCTCTGACCCAAAAGAAACAGAAGAAATATTCAATACTTTCTTTTCAAACATATTTAAAAAATCGGGAAATATTTCAGCACTGAATAAAGCAAATGAATATATATTAAAAGAAATGTTAGAGGGTATAATTAACTGAGATATTCCAGAATTTGTGATACCACCAATTGAACCGGATCATGTTAAAAAAACATTAGACTCACTTGATGTCAAAAAGGCCACTTGGGGCTCGATGGAATCAGTGCTAGATTTCTAAAAACTGCATCTTCTGTAATATATAGACCTTTATTTACTATTATCAATTTAAGTATTCAAACAGGAAAGTTTCCTACCAAATTAAAACAATCAAAAGTTACACCCATTTATAAAAAAGGACAAAATTCTGATAAAAATAATTACCGACCGATATCATTTCTAAAATATTTGAAAAGCACGTATCTGACCATCTAAAACAATTTCTAGAAACTCATACGTTTATTTTTAAGGCCCAGTCAGGATTCAGAACCAAGCACTCTTGTGAAACAGAATTAACAAACATAGTTGACAATTGGATAAATGCAATAAATGATGGCGAACTAGTTGGCACAATTTTTCTTGACCTAACCAAAGCATTTGACCTTGTAAACCATAAAATTCTTATTCAGAAACTGCATTATTACCATTGTTCTTCTCGTACAATTAAATGGTTTTCATCTTATCTTGCAAACAGAACATAATTAACTGTTTCCAGATTGAAGAACATAGAAAGTCAGTGTATCAGGTAAACTGTTCTGCCTTCGCTTATTGGGGCAGAATCTTTCACAATGGGGAATATCTAGATATAAAAATATAAGAAAGTTTAATCCACTTTTCCAGCTTTTATTTAATTTATCAACACATATAGTTACTAATCAGGCAGAATGATCTAATATAAACAGAATATTAAATTCTAACATATTAATGAAAGTAAGTTTTACATTCATTTACTTGAACAAATAGATGATATTCAAATATTAAGTAACATCTTGTTACCTGAAGTTTTTAACAAAGTTATTAACATAATTATATTTTCAAGTATTCAAAATAAGAACAGCTTAGTGTTCTTAACTAAATTTTAGTTGTTTAACATCAAACATTTACAAAATGTACATAGAATAAAATACAACTTACCTAGATATAAAAATATAAGAAAGTTTAATCCACTTTTCCAGCTTTTATTTAATTTGTCAACACATATAGTTACTAATCAGGCAGAATGATACTGCCAGCTGGAAAAGGGATCTTTTAAGGGGTTCTCTCACTGTCCATTGGTTTAACTTAGTTGACCAATAATTAAACATTATTTCTAGAGAGGCGGAACTACAAGTTCTGGCTTAATTCTGAAAATACTTGAGAAATAACTTACATATTTTCTAATCACTATCAAGAAATTTAATTGTCTATGTTTTTAAAAGAATAAAGTTTATCACAGATGTTAATATAACAAGCATTTTGCAATTCTTTGTCTAGTGTAAAAGGTTTTTAGCACATTGGCTTCTCTGTAACAACATGTCACCTGTTTGAGACATTCTAATTGACCACATAAATGTACTTGAGATTTAACAAAGAAAAAAGGGTATAATTTAGTTTAATCCTTTATAAATTTATGCCTAATTTTGAAATCAGAAAATACAAAATAAAATTTAAAATGAAATTCAATACAAATATTTCACTCACTTATTTAATATACACAATATAAAATATAACAAGAAAATAGCTACTTTTTCATAGCATGACAAAACTCTCAGAATCTGCAGAGGTTATATCAGGTGTTCCCCAAGGATCTGTCCTCGGGGCCCCTGCTTTTCATTATATACATCAATGATCTCCCACTTCATTTTAGAGACCTAGAAATAGACATGTTTGCAGATGACACCACACTTAAGCATCAGGACATTCACCACAAGAACTACATAATAAACTTCATACTAACCTCGAACATGTAAACAAATGGTGCATACAAAATGCAATGGTGTTAAATACACAGAAAACAAAGGCAATGCACTTTACATCAAACAATACACAGCTTCATTTACCACCTTTACACCTTCAAGATCAAATGATCCAATTTTCTAAAACCGAAAAGTTACTAGGTGTTTTTGTCGATAGTAAACTAAAATGGAAAATCCAAATAGAAATGATACTTAAAAAATGCAACTCTCAGTTATACCTACTTCTCAGAATCAAGCAATACCTAGACTTACATGCAAGAAAACTATTCATTAACTCATACATCTTACCACACCTAGATTATTGCTGTACTATCTGGGGCAATTGCAGCAATGATCTGATCAATGAAATCATAAAATTTCAAAAAAGAGCAGCAGGTATATATATCCAGATAAAAGTTACGATGCACCCTCCAGTGATTTGTTTAAAGAACTAAATTGGAGGAGATTTGATGAAAGAATGAAATACAAAAAAGCAATCATAATGTTTAAATCTATCAATGACATACCATATCCACAATACATGCAAAGTAAATTCCAATTTGTTTACCAAAAACATGAGCGCAACTTAATATCTACAAATAGTTCAGACCTAGCTGTTCCACTTTGAACTTTGTCCGGGACATAACTCTAAAAGTATAAGTGGTATCAACATGAAACTTTGTAGGTAGATAGATCTCATTGAGTAGGTGTGCAGTGCACAATGCAGTGCACAAGAACCGTAACTCTGCCTTGCCTAATTTTTGAATTATCCCCCTTTGTTTATTTTACACTTTGAACTTTGTCCGGGACATAACTCTAAAATTATAATAGGTATCAACATAAACTTTGTAGGTAGATAGATATCATTGAGTAGGTGCGCAGTGAACAAGAACCGTAACTCTGCCTTGCCTAATTTTTGAATTATCCCCCTTTGTTTATTTTACACTTTGAACTTTGTCCAGGACATAACTCTAAATGTATAAGAGGTATCAACATGAAACTTTGTAGGTAGATACATCTCATGATATCTATCTACCTACAAAGTTTATGTTGATACCTATTATAATTTTAGAGTTATGTCCCGGACAAAGTTCAAAGTGTAAAATAAACAAAGGGGGATAATTCAAAAATTAGGCAAGGCAGAGTTACGGTTCTTGTGCACTGCATTGTGCACTGCACACCTACTCAATGATATCTATCTACCTACAAAGTTTATGTTGATACCTATTATAATTTTAGAGTTATGTCCCGGACAAAGTTCAAAGTGTAAAATAAACAAAGGGGGATAATTCAAAAATTAGGCAAGGCAGAGTTACGGTTCTTGTGCACTGCATTGTGCACTGCACACCTACTCAATGAGATCTATCTACCTACAAAGTTTCATGTTGATACCACTTATACTTTTAGAGTTATGTCCCGGACAAAGTTCAAAGTGGAACAGCTAGGTCTGAACTATTTGTAGATATTAAGTTGCGCTCATGTTTTTGGTAAACAAATTGGAATTTACTTTGCATGTATTGTGGATATGGTATGTCATTGATAGATTTAAACATTATGATTGCTTTTTTGTATTTCATTCTTTCATCAAATCTCATCCAATTTAGTTCTTTAAACAAATCACTGGAGGGTGCATCGTAACTTTTATCTGGATATATATACCTGCTGCTCTTTTTATGCCACCGCAGCATCTGCGATGCGGTGGCATATAGCGATTCACCTGTGTGTATGTATGTGTGTGTGTTTGTTTGTGTGTGTGTGTGTTATATAGATTATATAGTGAACTTAAAAAATCTTCTTGTGAAAAACCACTAGTCCAATTTCAACCAAACTTGGCAGGATTGATCCTTGGGTAATAGGCTTCCGAAGTTGTTCAAAGAATTTCATTCCATGCAGAAATCTGGTTGCCATGGCAACCAAAAGGAATTATAAGAATAAATTTAAAACATCTTCTTGTAAAGATCCAAAAGGCCTAGAGCTTAGATATTTTGCATAAGGCATTGTCTGGTAGACCTCTACCAAGATTGTTGAAATTATAGCCCTGGGGTCAAAATTGGCCCCGCCCCGGGGTCATTGATTTTCACTATATATACATATAGTAAAAACATAAAATACCTGTAAAGACCCTAAAGGCCTAGAGCTTAGATATTTTGCATAAGGCATTGTCTGGTAGAAATCTACCAAGATTGTTTAAATTATAGCCCTGGGGTCAAAATCGGCCCCGTCCCGGGGGTCAGTGATTTTCACTATTTGTACATATAGTAAAAACTTAAAATCCTTCTTGTAAAGACCAAAAAGGCCTAGAGCTTAGATATTTTGCATAAGGCATTGTCTGGTAAACCTCTACCCATACTGTTCAAATTATAGCCCTGGGGTCAAAATTGGCCCCGCCCCGGGGGTCATTGGTTTTCCTTATATGTATATAGTAAAAACTTTAAAAAAATTTCTTCTAGCAATTGACAAATGCTAGAGGTTAGATATTTTGCATGAAACATTGTGAAGTGAACTTCTAGCAAGATTGTTCAAATTATAGCCCTGGGGTGAAAATTGCCCCCGCCCCGGGGGTCATTAATTTTCAATATATACATATAGTAAAAAATAAAAAAATCTTACTGTCTGAAGCTACAAGGCCTAGAGCTTTAATATTTGTTAAATGATATCATCTATAGGTACTCTACCAAAGTTGTTCAAATTTTGCCTCTAGTATCAAAATTAGCCCCGCCCCAGGGGCCATAGGTTTTCCTTATATGTATATAGTAAAAACTTAAAAAAATCATCTTCTCTAAATTTACAAAGGCTAGAGTTAAGATATTTTTC